GAACTGTTTTTAAAGGGGGAGCAGTGTGACGATCCTTCAGATTACTTTGAGCATGGTAATGGAATTGCCTTGAAGGATTGTCACTTTGTTTTCAACTTTTTGCTCTTCACTTTATCAATTGTGTTTTTAGTTACTCAATATTTCAAGAGTTATAAAATAATTTAAATTCTGTAAAAGGGTAGTCTGTATAACTACTTTGGCTATACTCTTAAAGTATGGTTAAAGTTTAATCATTTTACTCTATATTCATATTTAGGTTAATAACCTTCTCCTGTGTTTTTCATGTAATATTATTTACAGGATTAATGTCAACATATATATTTTGTTCATAATAAGAGTTTAATGTGAAGGTTTTCGGCCCAGTTTCATGTTTAATGCTACGTTACAAACTTTTTAGAAAGGGCAGTTGTCTGGGTTTGTCTACAAAATCCAAAGTGAGGCTTATTAAGCTTGATTTAAGTAAATAAGTACGTTTTAAGTGAATTGTCTTTTTCTGTGCTTTTATGATTCGAATTCAAGCCGGCCAGACATGGAAAACATTTTGTGGAATTTTAAACATTAAATCGTCACTAAAATTGGATATTTATATTGCCGCAGATAAACCAACTTAGGTGTACGAGTTGGTAAAGGTAATTGACTTGATTTGATTGTATTTTTGCAGAGTTCTGGTCTTTGAAAAGAAGTATCTGTACACTTGATTTTTTCCTTAATTTTATTTATTTGCCTTGTGAACATCCCATGTTTAAATTGTCCCAGGGATTGTTAAGGAACATTTGACAAGGTTGACGCAAAGTTACACGCAGAGTTTTTGTCTTAAAGAACCTATGTAACTTATTAACCAGCGTCGAAAGCAAGTTCCCGGGGTTCTTTATGAAACCTTCCATACAACATCCCCACAGGGAATCGTTTAGGAATATTTGACAAGGTGTACGAAAAGTTACGGTCTTTATGAACCTAATGTAACTTGCTCTAAACCAGAGTCAACTGCAAATTCCAGGGGTTCATAGACATCTCTATACGACATCCCCCCCCCATCCAGTTTGGGACTGTATTTAGTTTGTTCACAGGGTAAACTTTATTGATACACTAGAAATACTCCTTTGTATATTTGTATGTTAAATTTTGGGTAATTTAAAGGTGAAATCCCGGGCTTATGGAACCATTATCAAACAACTGATCATTGAAGTACTTTTAAGGGTCATGGTCATTCGAAGCCCATTTCGGACTTAAGACACCCCCTCCCCTTCTAGTTTTCCATGTCTGGTCTAATTCTATGTTAACCACATTGTAATTCATTATAGATACTAGAAATACTTTTAAAATACTGTTTCCCATTTGTTTGCCAATTGTACCATAGTCTGATAGTGGCAAAATGATGTTCCACTTTTCATGTGAGTAGTATAGAGAGCTGATTTCAACCCCACCAGGGATTATATAAAATTGCACTGTTGAGTTACATTTTTGGGAAAGACACATTTTAGGCTTTGTTGCAAATTGTTTAACTGAACTTCCATTAGCTGTGCTGTTTTATGCATGTTTGGTTTGAGAGATTATTTACTTGATATACCATCTCGGCAGTACTGAATTGTGTAATGTTTGTGTTGATTAGTAAATAGAAATAGAGTCGTTTTTATACATTATATAAAAATCCACAGAATATCACTTGTTGTGTTCGATTGTTTATATATATGTTAGAAAATTTCCCTTTCATTTTATCTGAAGTAGATTCTGGATTCAAAATAGATTCCGACTAAAGTCCAGGTGACTTAAGTGATACTAACATTCAAGCAACAAGCTTTATCTTAGCTCATATTTGCTAAGGGCTTCTTTGAATAACAATCACTCACAATAAGTCATACATATATTTTCCCAGAAACTATGCAATAGTGCAGAGCTAAAGTACAATCCAGGATCTTACTTTCTTATTTAACCTTTGTCTTATTGAGAATATTAGTGAGAATTTCATTCACCCTGGTTCCAAGTCGTTACCTCAAACATCATTTACTTCAAATGTTTTCTTACTTGCTTGTTTAAATGGTGTACAAGTAATATTATCCCCTGATGAGTTTGACAGACTCAGTGATTTGAAATAGCCCAACTTTAATTCTTACAAACTTTCCCACTTTTATTGTGACCAGCGAGCTTAATATACAGCTTGAAGTCCATCGTAGCCCTCTTGTGGCTAGGACTTCCACCTGGTTATACTCACACCCTAACATTATACTTATTTGATACAACTTAACACTGGGCACATTCAGAATCTGGAGTCTGTTGCCATTCGCCTTTATGAGACATACAACTTACATTGAAAACTGACAAATCTTACTTAGTCTATATTCAGATTTTGTTATCCCGAAATTGTTATCCCGAAATTGTCCCACTTCATCCCAATTATTTTTATCCCAGAATTTATCCCTAATTTATCCCTACATTTTCATCGGAAAATTTATCCCAGGATTTATCCCTAATTTATCCCTAAATTTTCATAGCAAAATTTATCCCAATTTGATCCCATTTTGTTATGATACTGTGAACACGGATGTTGTTCACATAAATAGGGATACACATTTCAACTTTTACTTGAACTTGTCCCGAAACTAAGTTAATGAAAACATCAAATCAAACTATTGATTCTTAGACTGTATTCTGTTTGCGACCCCCAAACCACGCTACCACACGAGGGTCGTGACAATACATGTGGCGATGCAACTTCCCAACTCACAGCGCGTTCAGATTTAGCCTCGTGAAATTCAGGCCTGTAGCCAGGATTGCCAAGGTTTTTTTGCCGAAATTCCAGGGAGGGGTTTACTTTGAATACTTTGGCCCAAAAAGGGTCAAAATCGCTCAGAATGGTGAAATACTGCATGATTTAGAATTGTTTTGGCCACGGGCCAGATATTAGCCTTGAAACTGAAAAAGTTGGGAGAGAGGCGGGGGGGATTCTGGGATAGGGCAGAATATAGGCCTACAGTATCTAAAATTTGGAGAGGGTTATCGCCGGGTCTTACTCACTTCGAGAGTCATGTTAGATTTTGAAACTTCAAAATCCAAATAGCTTTCGCAGGAAGTAAGCCGGGTCCTGAGTTGGGACATGGGCATTCCCGTATTCACGCAAAAAATTCAAGTTTTGAGAAAAAAAAACATTTCAATTCCTCTCAAATTTGTGATCAGAGAAACGGAATTCAATGTGCTAATAAACGAGAGCAAGCATTAGAAACAAGGGAAGGTACACTCCCCTCCATAAGTTTGGCAACCTTAGCTCCACCATTGAACTATACGTGTTAAAACCTCTTTCTCAGTACTTTTGAATTTTTATTTACTTAACCTGCGATGGAAATACTTATACTATTAATTGAAACATAATTTGACTTTATTTCCAATACCTCCAAATTTTCTCATTTTCCCCCTCAATTAGGCCTACAATAGGTCGAAAATTGATAATAAATTTGATGAATTTTTGAAAGCCGACATTCCCATGTTAACCGATGGAATGGTAGGTTTGCCGCAAGTCATATGACAGAATATCCATCCCCGGGTATCCATCACTCCGAGTCCTTGCAAAAATACAAGTTTATAGGTAGGCAATTGAATTTGCTAACTTCATTTAACAAAAAATTGATACCTTTTTTCAGGATCAGCAAATAGTTATAGCTCTTTAAAGTCAAAATTATTTTTCAAAAACCTCTCCCATTGAATAAGAGGCGAAAAATAATTTTCAAAAATGACAATTTGAAGCTCTGTATCTTTAATATTCATGAAGTAAACACTTTGTGTACAAAAAAGTTAGACAATTCAATAATCTATATAAAAATATTTTTGCTGAATCTTTTACTGACAGATATCCTGATTTCTGATTTGCCCCGAACACAAGGTATTGAAGGTATTGCAAATAAAGTTACGTTTCCATCAATATTATAAGTTATTTCATCGAATGTTGTTAAGTGAATAAAAATTCAAACGTAAAGAGGTTTTTTAAAGTTCGATGGGGGAGCGAAGGTTGCCAAACATATGGAGGGGAGTGTAAATACCGTTACTTCTATGAATTTAATTTGTATTAATTTCCAACCATCATAACTTTGCCCCTCGGCCTATACCACATCTTCGTTCACTCGGCTCCAGTCGGTCGTAGTGAAGATCGGAGCGTGCGAAGATGCCTATACCCCCATCACCTTGATTTATACGCTGTCTTATATTTATGGCTCGAGGTAAAGAAATATCAAAGGTACAAACAAAAACTAGCAAAAGGTACTATCGAGAGGGATACCGGGTCACCCCACACCACCAGCGTGCAGGCTTCTTTGAAACTTTTATTAAATCATTAGAACGTTTTACAATTTAATGTTGGATTTACACTAGAGCCCTAAGACGTCTTGGCTAAAAAGTTTAAGCGTTAAAACGTTTTACAAATGTAGGCCCTAATGTAAATCCAGATTTTCTGAAGAGCTCTCGGCTAAGAGCTAAAACGTTTTAGGACCCTAGTCATAGCCAAGACGTCTTGGCGTTAAAACGTTTTACATGTTTTACAAGCGAGTGTAAATCCATCGGTTTTAGTCAGTTTTTTTTGCGTTGCGCCGAACGAAACGTTTAATTTAATTGAAACTTTCCATTTACATATATGTCGCATGGTCCTCTCTTTTGTCTTATCCCTTGTTCCGAATATCATCCCAAAATTATCGAGAAGAACTTATTTGCAGGTGTAAACTCAATCATATTTCGTAAGACGTCTTGAAAATGGTGGTGTAAACTCGACATAATTTTTCTAAAACGTTTTAGCCAAGACGTCTTGGAATATCGCGTGTAGTGTAAAATAGGGCTATTATTATACGATTGTAAAGAGGGCGGAGGGGAAGTGGAAAACCTTTCAGACCAATCTCCAATTTGTTTGACTCTTTCTACATGTTCTATGTGTAGCCTAATGACTTTTTTTAATAAATGTTTTCTTGGAGATTTGGCAGACACCTTGAGAATATAGCTAGATTAGCCTTAGGTAAACACAACAGTTTTTTCAACACAAAAACTTTTATTTCAATAAAATACTTACAATATGTCATGTATGTACAAATCATGGGCTTTCAAGAGATTGAAAGCCCATGGTACAATAGGCCTAACTCCAAAAATCCATGTTTTGGATTAAAGAAGGAAGGTTTATTTAAATTACATCTCACACCATATATTTTATCAAATATAGGTCTTTGGGGGGAGATGGTCTACTTCCAAGTGGAAAAGGTCCAAGTATGCGATGAACACATATGTTATAGTCTAGGGAGGGATGATATATTGAGTTTATCCACTGGAATGATATGACATCTAACCAAGGCATCAGAGGGAGTGACCAGTTAATATACAGTGAAATCTGTTTAGTGGAACACATCTGTTAGTGAAACACTTTTCAGAGTCCAAAGACCAACTGACTTAATGCTAAATGAACCTGTATAATTGGAACACCTCCCAAGTGGAACACTTTTTACATGTACCAAAAGTGTTCCGATTAGACAGGTTTTACCATACTTCCCTTTAGAAACATGTAGTTCCTATTTCCAATACTCCCATACATTAACTTCTATTAGGCTAGGCCTATTCCTTTTCATGTGATTTTGGGACTTTGTAAAAGTGAACCCCCTGGATTTTTGGGCAAAAGCTTGCTACAGGCCTATGTAAGTTATCAAAAATTACATTTTTATGAACAATGGTGGCCATTTTGAAATTTAGTGGCCATCTTGAACATTTCTTTCTTGAGCAGAGGTTTTATGTCCTCAAGGCATCAACTTATAAAATTTGATCCAAATCCATCAACTGGTACTATATCTAGTATTTGATTTATGGCTCATGGAGAGACACGAATGACACTACTTTGGTCTAAGCTAGATACTTTAGCTACTGGTCACATGACCAACATTTACTGTAACTCAAGGCTTTCAAATCTGTTTGTTTAATGGATTGCATTTCCCATCTTCATGGTATGATTAAAAAATATGAGGTATATGTTACCTTTCTGAGTAATTGCAATATAAAATGAAATGGATTTGTTGGAACAATTTTACTAAAACACAGGTGGTCAAACATACTAACTCAATTCATGTCAACTTTATATGACTTGTGGATTGTGTTTTATGGTATCACCATGGCCACCATAGTCATGGCAGATTAATCACCATGGTTCCATTAGTTTCATTTGACTTGTAGAATCAGTGTCCATACACTTATCACTATAGTTACTACTACTATCATGTCATTTTCTTATGACTTGTAGCACCGTAACAATGGCAACATCAGTTTCATTATCCTTGTCGAATCAACTTCCACACCTTATTACTATAGTAACCATAGTCACGTCATTAAATGACTTGTAGAATCACGCTCAATATATCTGTAGTAAACATGGTTCCCCCAGTTTCATATGACGTTTAGAATCACTGTCCATACCCTAGTCACTATAGTTACTGTTGTCATGTCAGTTTCATGTGACTTGAAGAATCAGTGTCCATACCCTAGTCACTATAGTAACTGTTGTCATGTCAGTTTCATGTGACTTGAAGAATCAGTGTCCATACCCTAGTCACTATGGTAACTGTTGTCATGTCAGTTTCATGTGACTTGAAGAATCAGTGTCCATACTTTCATCATCTTGCTCATATTTCCGCTTCAAAAGACCTGAAATTTAACAAACAAAATGTGTTATTATATTTATGGGAACTGAGATGTTTTTCAATGACTTGTACCTCACGAGAAACTTGATCTGGTGGAAATATAAAAGTGAGCGAAAAAAGAAATTTAAATAGATTGCATATAAGGTCTTTGGTAAACAAAACCAACATTAAATATATCAACTAGGATAAGTACTAGATATCTAGTCAGTCCATTAAATAAATAAAAATGCGTACCATTGCCCTGAGAAGAGTGACCATTTCTTAAAGATAGGTTGGCTTTGTAGATGGGTTCATATTCCTAAAATGTAGCACAGTCTAATATCACGTGATTATGCTAATATCTGAATATGGAAGTCCAATATCACATGATTATGCTAATATCTGAATATGCAAGTCTAATATCACATGATTATGCTAATATCTGAATATGCAAAAAGAATGAACAGCAATTATTTTACTGATTTAGTGAAATATTTTCTCATTATCTCTTTCTTTTTATCTCAAATATTAGCGGTGTGACACCAGGAATAAATCATGGAAAACTCAGAATATTGATGCTTTTATATACATTTTCTTGATATTATTTCTATGTACTAGTTGCAATTAATACTGTATCAGCATTCAATACAGTCTATTCATTTATTATATTTTTTTATTAACTCATTACTAAAAATGATGAAACTCATAAAAATGATATACTGAGATAGTATTCAGAAAGTATTCAGATAGTATTCAGAAAGTATTCAGAAAGTATTCAGATAGTATTCAGAAAGTATTTAGATAGTATTCAGAAAGTGTTCAGATAGTATTCAGAAAGTATTCTGATAGTATTCAGATAGTGTTCAGATAGTATTCGGAGAGTATTCAGATAGTATTCAGAAAGTATTCAGATATAGTCTTCAGATAGTATTCAGATATATATATAAGTATTCAGAAAGTATTCAGATAGTATTTAGAAAGTATTCAGATAGTATTCAGATAGTGTTCAGAAAGTATTCAGATATAGTCTTCAGATAGTATTCAGATAGCATTCAGATATAGTATTCAGATAGTATTCAGATATAGTATTCAGATAGTATTCAGATGGTGCATGAAATGAAAATGGTACACAAAATAGGATCAATCATGAACTAAGTTTTGGTTAAGTTTTGGTCTGAGGCAGTTGCTTCATGTGGCCTCGCCTAGCGCTACATCCATGTCCTCTTATCTTTACTTACCCTTAACTGTTGAGCAAATCCCTGATTCGGGTTAATACAAAACCTCCTCTGCTGGACATAGGAAAAGGCATCCCTGAAAAGTTTATAACATGTTTTGATTTTGACGGAATTTAAATGAAAATTGTACAAATTAGAGCAATTTTAGAGAAAACTTTTGGGACACAGTATCTCGTCACTCTAGGTTTCAAGGTGATTTCTAAGGTGACGAGAAATCTCATCACTCTGAGTGGTCAAGAGGTTAAAAATGCGAGTCAATTGAAGATAACGAAAGTGGGACTCAAAAAAGTGTTTGCATCAACAGGTGTTTGGATAAGAGAGGTGTTCAGATATGAAGGTTTCACTGTATCTCCAAAATGATGAATAAAGAGGAATGATGATAACTTAGCTGGGAACTTACACATAAGAAAGTCCATATTGTTCCATTATATATGCTATATAACCAGAGTTGCACTTCATGATGATAACTTAGGTAGGAACTTACATATAAGAAAGTCCATATTGTTCCATTATATATGCTATAACCAGAGTTGCACTTCATGATGATAACTTAGGTAGGAACTTACATATAAGAAAGTCCATATTGTTCCATTATATATGCTATAACCAGAGTTGCACTTCATGATGATAACTTTGGTAGGAACTTACATATAGGAAAGTCCATATTGTTCCATTATATATGCTATAAGCAGAGTTGCACTTCATGATGATAACTTAGGTAGGAACTTACATATAAGAAAGTCCATATTGTTCCATTATATATGCTATAACCAGAGTAGCACTTCATGATGATAACTTAGCAAGAAACTTACATATAAGAAAGTCCATATTGTTCCATTATATATGCTATAACCAGAGTTGCACTTCATGATGATAACTTAGGAAGGAACTTACATATAAGAAAGTCCATATTGTTCCATTATATATGCTATAACCAGAGTTGCACTTCATGATGATAACTTAGGTAGGAACTTACATATAAGAAAGTCCATGATGTTCCATTATATATGCTATAACCAGAGTTGCACTTCATGATGATAACTTAGGTAGGAACTTACATATAAGAAAGTCCATATTGTTCCATTATATATGCTATAACAAGAGTTGCACTTCATGATGATAACTTTGGTAGGAACTTACATATAAGAAAGTCCATATTGTTCCATTATATATGCTATAACCAGAGTTGCACTTCATGATGATAACTTTGGTAGGAACTTACATATAAGAAAGTCCATATTGTTCCATTATATATGCTATAACCAGAGTTGCACTTCATGATGATAACTTAGGTAGGAACTTACATATAAGAAAGTCCATATTGTTCCATTATATATGCTATAACAAGAGTTGCACTTCATGATGATAACTTAGCAATTAACTTACATATAAGAAAGTCCATATTGTTCCATTATATATGCTATAACCAGAGTAGCACTTCATGATGATAACTTAGCAATTAACTTACATATAAGAAAGTCCATATTGTTCCATTATATATGCTATAACCAGAGTTGCACTTCATGATGATAGCTTAGTTAGGAACTTACATATAAGAAAGTCCATATTGTTCCATTATATAATATGCTATAACCAGAGTAGCACTTCATGATAATTTAGGTAAAAACTTACATATAAGAAAGTCCATATTGTTCCATTATATATGCTATAACCAGAGTAGCACTTCATGATGATAACTTAGGTAAAAACTTACATATAAGAAAGTCCATATTGTTCCATTATATATGCTATAACCAGAGTAGCACTTCATGATGATAACTTAGCAAGAAACTTACATATAAGAAAGTCCATATTGTTCCATTATATATGCTATAACCAGAGTAGCACTTCATGATAATAACTTAGGTAAAAACTTACATATAAGAAAGTCCATATTGTTCCATTATATATGCTATAACCAGAGTAGCACTTCATGATAATAACTTAGGTAAAAACTTACATATAAGAAAGTCCATATTGTTCCATTATATATGCTATAACCAGAGTAGCACTTCATGATGATAACTTAGCAATTAACTTACATATAAGAAAGTCCATATTGTTCCATTATATATGCGATAACCAGAGTAGCACTTCATGATGATAACTTAGGTAAAAACTTACATATAAGAAAGTCCATATTGTTCCATTATATATGCTATAACCAGAGTTGCACTTCATGATGATAACTTTGGTAGGAACTTACATATAAGAAAGTCCATATTGTTCCATTATATATGCTATAACCAGAGTAGCACTTCATGATGATAACTTAGGTAAAAACTTACATATAAGAAAGTCCATATTGTTCCATTATATATGCTATAACCAGAGTAGCACTTCATGATGATAACTTAGCAAGAAACTTACATATAAGAAAGTCCATATTGTTCCATTATATATGCTATAACCAGAGTTGCCCTTCATGATGATAACTTTGGTAGGAACTTACATATAAGAAAGTCCATATTGTTCCATTATATATGCTATAACCAGAGTAGCACTTCATGATGATAACTTAGGTAAAAACTTACATATAAGAAAGTCCATATTGTTCCATTATATATGCTATAACCAGAGTTGCCCTTCATGATGATAACTTAGGTAGGAACTTACATATAAGAAAGTCCATATTGTTCCATTATATATGCTATAACCAGAGTTGCCCTTCATGATGATAACTTTGGTAGGAACTTACATATAAGAAAGTCCATATTGTTCCATTATATATGCTATAACCAGAGTAGCACTTCATGATGATAACTTAGGTAAAAACTTACATATAAGAAAGTCCATATTGTTCCATTATATATGCTATAACCAGAGTAGCACTTCATGATGATAACTTAGGTAAAAACTTACATATAAGAAAGTCCATATTGTTCCATTATATAGGCAATAACCAGAGTTGCACTTCATGATGATAACTTAGGTAGGAACTTACATATAAGAAAGTCCATATTGTTCCATTATATATGCTATAACCAGAGTAGCACTTCATGATGATAACTTAGCAAGAAACTTACATATAAGAAAGTCCATATTGTTCCATTATATATGCTATAACCAGAGTTGCACTTCTCGATATCCCAGCATTCCCATGTATAAGCACCTTGCCTACAATCAAATTTACACATACATGACACATACGCAAAACAGTGTAAATGTGGACATAAAAATATAGCCCTGATTCCTTCATCAAAAAATATAAATTATTGCATGATTGTATTTATTTATTTATTCTTTTTATCAAGCCCTTTTATAAAGTAAAAACTTAACTTTATACTGACCTTTTTTAGCGAAACATTCCTCAATGAAGTCTCTAACCTAAAACATTAATTAAACAAGGCATGAACATGACAAAAATACTCAACCAGCAAACAAATTGTTATAAACAGTAACAATTGTTACGAATACTGACAACAACTACTGATCCCCAATGCTGGTCACAGAAAATGATGGCTATAATAATATGGCTGAATGGTGCACTGTAACTATTGAGTAGTTTAGGTTTTTTCATTCATGCTATGAGTTCCTTGTTCAAGCGTTAAATAGTGCTTGAATAACTCTGATACTGTTTAATTTTCAAAGAGCAATATCTCTGACGTGTGCCTCATTTTCACAATATATAATCTTTAGAAATAATGGAGATCTCCTAAAGGATATGCAACAATATGGCACCTGCATGAGCTTTTAAAAATACATCATAAAACTTACTTTTGGAAGTATGCGTATAATATTCTCTGTAACTGTATCAGCAACATCCAATACCAAATACCTAAAGCAATTACATATAAGCAATTACATGGTTTGGTTTATATCAACAATTTTGACCATCTCAACCTTTAAACTGGAATTCTGAATCCAATGTTTTCGAATTGGTTCTATGGTTCATAGCAAAAAGATTAATCTCAAATTGTAGTTGTTAGCAAAAATATTACATTTAATCTTTCTGATTATCTTAACATAATCTCCCGTAGGAGAGGACTCAACTTACACAATTCCAGGGGATTTTCCAAGGTAAATAGCATGCATCTCCATGATATCAGAATATGTTATACTCAATGATTATGACAGTTAAAAAATATTTTTTTATTCCATCTTTTTTCAATTTTATCAAAGAAAGATGTGCAATCATTGCAGTCAGCACCAATATGACAGGGTTTCATTTGAAGCATTTGTAACACTGCTATTTTCTCAAGTTCATTTTATTTAAATCTCCTTCTGTTTTTTTTCAAATGCAAAAGCAACAAGACATTAACATGCAAAATGTCTCCACTTGCCATTTGTTACAAACATCGAATACCAACTGCCTACCACCAAACACCAATGACCGAACACTGTCCACAAAAATGTTGGAGACTATAATAATATGACACTGCTCGCAGTGTTGACATAATAATACTTTGCTATGATAGAACAGAAACAAAAAATAAATACAAATAAAAAACAACTTTTTTATTCCTTTTCCCTGCTGTCAGAACTTCTAAATCCCTGAGAGAGAATATGTCTTACCTGAAATAATCCTGAAAGTTTGGCTTGATAAAGTGTGACTCGAGAGTGTGTCGGATACAAACAATGTGTGTGATGCCGTAACCCTGTAGCACTGCTAGCTAGAAGACAAAAGCAAGATAAGATGAATCGTGTTAACATAATAAATTGATGGGCTCACATGATGAAGAACTTGGTAATACATATACTCTCCTTGGATTGTGTTATTTAGCACATGGATACTCTCCCTGTTCAGACAAATTTGTTGCATCATTTAATTCTGGGTGTTTGACTGAGTTGTCCAGAACTTGTATAAATGGCTGTGGTGTGTACTTGTATGTCTATGTATCGGTGCGCATAAAAAAATACAGGGCTCCTCCAAGGAAGGGTTTTTGGCTCTGTCTTTGAGTGTTAAACATGTAAGATCCGTAAATATACCAATGAGGTATTGCTCGCCAAAATATGGCGGTAACCAAAATACAATACAGGACATGGTATTTAATATAGCACATAGTTACCTTTGATTTCATTGCTGCAGCATATGGACCCAAGTATAAGCCAGGAACCATTTCTTGCATATCTCTTCTCATTGCATAAGTCCAATCCTGAAGATAAAGGAAAATTCAGAAATTGAAATAAAGCAATGATCACTGAGTAGCAAATCCTAAAAAACAGCATGTATTCCACAATTGAAAGTGCATTTTCAGAGGGCTGAAAAGGTTATTTCATCATGTTTATGGTCATTCTGACCATTTTCATTGTGTTCCCGGTCATGTAAATGATATGTGGAACTAGTTAAACTGACTGGAGGTCCAAACAGAACTCTGTTATCTTGGTTCAAAAAATTTTCAAAATCCAGCATGGTTCTGACATTCTTTGTTTTGTCAGTTCCTGTTAACTTCCATAGCACCTCAAAGTCAGGGCTGTCAACTTGGGACTATAGTGCTGATATATAATAAAAAAGGGTGCGTTTTCAAATTAAACAGAGTGCTCCTACCAAAATGAATTTGCCTACATACCCCTGAGACTCTTATCTGATAGATAGAATGCACAAATAAAAGTCCACCCGCTATGGCTCAGTGGCAGAGAGAGTCAAGGTTACGAATATCGCTTGGCCCCGGGTTCGATTCCTGGTTCAGACAAGTTTGTTTGTGCGTTATGTAATTCTGGGTGTTTGACTGAGTGGTTCATGACTCGTATAAAAGGCTGTGGTGTGTACCTGTATGTCTGTGTACCTGTGCACATAAAAGAAAACAGGGCTCCTCCAAGGAGGGGTTTCTGGCTCTATCTTCGAGTGTAAAATATGTAAAATACGGAATATACCAATGAGGTATTGCTCGCCAAATATGGCGGTAACCAAGATATATATAAAAAAAAAAAAAGAAAAGTTTTGCTATTATAGGTAAAAAGTTATCTTGAAATTTCGAAGTGATTTTACCTGTTAATTCTGTCCATGGTCCGCCATTTTTGCGGAAGTTACACTGAAACGCAAACTCCATGAAACGAAACGAAATCACTAGAAAAAACATGGCACACATTGTGCGCATGTGCAGCAAAGTTAAAACCAATCAGATTATTTGATTGTTTCGCGCACATGAATTATTTGCTTCTGAGCACTTACAAGCTTACCACAATAAACAAACCTGACAGAGACTACCCTTAGCCTACTTCATTTTGGTGAAATTTCAGCTCAAACTCGTGACAAATGCATTATGCATACGCTGGTGTGAAGCCTTGGAGACACTCATTTTGGTAAATTTGATTTATGGTGTATACTTTTCTGCAGTTTGTGGGAGTTTGGGACATTAAATGTTAAAATTCAAGAAAATATGCAAATTAAACGACTGATCAATTAATATCCACCAGCACTGTATCTAACATGAGTGACTTACAAATGTTGAACATCTTCCTTCACATTTTGGACACCTTACTAAACACTGGTCAAAATAGGACACCTAAAAATTTTTCTTATCGCTGACACTCGCAGTTTACAAGTCTGTCAAGGGGGGGATTTTTATACCGTATCGGCATTTCGTAAAAAAACGATTTTTAATTATGTCAACATAACGCGAGATTTGCGTGATATTTGATCATACACGCTAGATAGATGCATGATTTCTAGTTTTTCAGTAAATGTGTGACAATCACGCCTAATGCGTGAGGGTTGACAGGGCTGTAGAGTTAAGAGGAAGTATTTTTCTACCGTTTTGGAGAGTTTGAGGCATAAAACTTAGAATTTAGGTCATTGTGACAACTTTTGATGTGTGAGGATTATTCAAGTTTTCCAGTGTACCCAAAATTGAAAAAAGAATGAATGAAAAAACTTCAAACATTTTGTGAAAAGAAAATTTTTTTTACTCACATTGCAACCATTTTCTTCTGGGGAATCAGGTATCTTTGGGAAAGAAATTGGGTCCATCGTCAAAATAGAAATGTTTTCACATTTCAGCATTCTATAACTACATACCCTCCCTGTCAATCTTCTAAATACTGAAATAAAGTGGAAAATAAAAGTTTGTTAAACTAAGACAAAACCCACAATGCACTTTGGTAAACTCATGTGTTTCCGCCGGAAGTTCAACATTTTGAAAAAGTGCAATTTTGCAAATCTCTCCAAAATTTGTATTATATCGCCACAATGAAGTAAGTATATCATTTTTAAATCAAAATAGAAAATAAAACCTACTACGTTACTTCAGAGAAAATATAATAAATCGACATTCTTCCCTAATTTTACTCATGGTAGATCTAAATCTAACTTTGAATAATTTTACAAAACCCAAAATAACAAAAAGACTCATTCAAAGCCACAAGCACGGACTTCAAGTAAGTTTCTGGCGAAAGCCGGAGCATAGATTATTTAGAGGACTGGAAACAAGAATGACCTACCTTTTTATTTCCCGAATCTCGCCTGAAATTAGCTCATCTTGGTGACTGTAACCTCAGGGCTGTCAACTTGGGACCACCTAATATGAGTGACTTCAAAATGTTGGACACCTAAGTCCAAATCTGAACACTTTTGTTCAAATTTTGAACACCTTTGGCCAACTTTTAAACACCTTTGGCGAAAGTTTGAGCACCTTTGCCAAACTTTGAACACCTCAAATTTTTCGCGGGGGGGGATGGGTAGGTACGAAAAATTTCCAATGAACATGCGTGACACATACGGGATTCGCGTGACACAGAAATATTTTTGCTTGACAATTACCAGGTAAAATGCGTATTTTGCGTGACATTTTCTGTCACGCAAAAAAAACTGGCGTGACTTCAAATTCTTCAGCAAATGCGTGACAAATACGCAAATTGCGGGACAGTTGACAGGCCTGTAACCTGTATACAGTTGGGGACATAAAGAATTACAAAAGCTATGGAAATTACATGCTGTCGCACATGTAATAAATTCTTACCTCAGTGTATTCAGTGCTCTATTTTCTCCATCCTAGTAAGTCCAGATATAGTGGAATTTGTGTCCATAATGACAAATAAGAACTTAAAAATTTGAAGTGGAATTCACATGTTAATCCCGACTCTTCAAATGTTGAGGTGATTTTGGAGCCCGATTGCGTCGCAATGTGGATTGGCTCCCAGAATGCAACATGACACGTGTCAGCTTTCAAAATGCCGCTCCGCCATTTTGAAATCTGTCAAGAGTAAATAAGGTTACCTGATGTTGCATTCTGGGAGTCAATCCTCTTTGGATCACAAACATGGTGATTCATGAAAACATTCAATCGATTTGGTAGGAATTTATCCATCATTTGCAGGTATGAAGCTTTGGATTCATTTATTGTGCTACTTAAAGTGAATGGGAATTATTTTTCTACCGCTTGGGAGAGTTTGAGACACGAAGCTTAGAATTTAGCTCATCGTGACAACTTTTGAGGGCTGAGATTTATTTTTGCCCTCCACTGTATCTGTATTAATAGAGTCTTTTTGTATGGTATCTGCCTCAATTTTAAAGTTTTATTGGTATTTTTAATATGATTACACTGTTTTTGTGGACTGGTACGATTAAGCCAAGCAAATGGCAGCTGACCTGTTCAAAGTAGTTTTAGTACTAATTATCGCAAATGACAATAATTTTCGAAACAATATTATACTAAATAGATTACTAAGCATCTAAGGTAAGTAAAACTAGATGAACAACCGAGTCAATAGTGATAAATAGGCCAACACGAATTGGCAGAATTGAAGTAGACTGCCATCTTGTTTCCAGTCCTCTTAAATAATCTATGCTCCAGCTTTCGCCAGAAACGTACTTGACGTCCTAGGCCACAAGGAAGATTGACTCCCAGGTTCCAAATAGATATTCTGCCATATATGGAATCATATCTCAATTTAAAAATTCATAGCAGTCAACATTATTTACTTCAGAATTTGAATTGCATCGTTTTACCTTCTTCTAAGGCCACTGTATCGTGGCCTTCCTGGAAAGATAATTTCCTGCATGAAGAATTGGTCATGTCGTAATCATAAAATTTGAAATCATATGTCTACCATTTTTCCACATCACAATTTCAATTGTGAGTTTTGGTCTTATTACCTCACCAAAAATTCCAAAACACACATGAAGTGAATTGGTTCACATCTTCTGGCTCGCTAACTTAAAATTTACAGCCAGTTACTAATGTCAGACGTTAACGACATTTCGTCCAGTTTTCGAATATCGCCATTTTTCTTGGAGCCATTTTGTTTTAATTTAAGACGAAATCCTGACGAAATCATGTCATATCTCATCAAGGAGCCGAGCCGGTTCCGTTTTAATTTATGATTTATTTATCTGGCGATTTTTATTAAAATATTCAATAAATTTATGACACGGCGGCCAGCTTTTTTCAAATGGAGTTCACAGTATTCCAGATGAAATCACCTCTAGCCAAGTATTGGCTAAGAGACTCAAGTAAGCATCGTTTGTTCAAATCTTTTTGATCACTGTTCATGAATTCATAGCTACGTGTAGCCTAGTTACTATAATGACATACAAGAAGGACATCTTCATTATTGTGTTGATATTGTTAGAATATTGTTATTGGAAATAGAGAAATATATAAAGAGTATAGTGTACAGTCCATGCTGAGAGTCTGCAGCGCAAAATCTTGGTGTATCTACATGTATCTGCAAATCAAACCCGTTGCATCGATTGGTGAATTAAGGTGCAGTGGTTCTTAACAGGAAATGACAAAACAGGAAGTGACAAAAAATCTGGCATTTTTAGACATTTTTTGAACAAAGATAACATAGTTCTGTTTTGACCTCCAGTCAATTCAAATACCGTAGTTCTACATAGTTCCACATACATGTATCACCCTAAACATGATGATGAAATAACTTTTTCAGCCTGCTGAAAATGTGACTGAATAAAAGATAAAAGTAGCCCCTCAGGAAAGGTCACTGAATAGAATCTTTTGAATTTTTCAGAAAATGTAAATTTTTAATAGAGATACATTTGTACATGTAACATGGATGTCTGATAGATATTGAATAAAGTAAACTGAATAAAGTAAACTCTTTTCTTGTATATATGATAAACAGGTACAATAGAATAAATGTGAGGGTACGTTACTGTAGATATACCCCATCTAGTATATTGAAAGCAGTAAGCGATGGGAGGGGGAGAGTATGGGTGCTCTAGACTACATTAGCTCACTGCAGGCTTTCACACACAGTCTGTACATATGATTATCATATTTGTAGGATTAATATAGATGGCTTACTGGTGTACTTCCCATATGATTACATCTATCCTGAACAGTATCTTTACATGGTGGAGCTCAAGAAGTCAATTGATGCACAGGTATGCTCATTTTACATATTTATCTAGAAATCTCTGAAATTTTGATTTCAATGAGTACACATATTTAGGGATGGAAAAATAATGTTGTCACGATTAAAGTTAAAACCTCCACATCTCTCAATAAAAAGTAGGTTAATTTATACAGTATATTCCTCGGGACCACTTTGTTACTCTGTATGTATAATTATTCCACCGATCGAAGTTCGAGGGGGATATAGAGAAGCCGTCCGTCCATCCGTTCGTCCGTCCGTTCGTTTGTCCGTGTGTCCGGGCGATAACTCCAATACCGGTTGACGGATTTGGTTCAAATTTTTTAGGCTTATGAGTGTAGGACCTCTGCTTGAGAAGAAATTTTCAATATGGCCGCTCAATCCAAAATGTTCGGTGGGATTTGCTACTCCGTGGAGTTGCTGTTTTTCTAGTTTTGTATATTATTTTTTAGGGCCACTGTGTTGTTGAGATGCCCTCTGGTACTGGGAAAACAATATCTCTTCTTGCGTTAATCGTAGCCTACCTTCAACAGAATCCCCTAGATGTCACTAAGCTTATTTACTGTACACGTACAATACTTGAAGTTGACAAGGTTTGTATCTCATAAAAAAAAATTCTCACATTTTGTTGTATATTCAAATAACTAGTAATCCTTTTTCATTGAGTAGTCTTATTGCTCCATTAGATGTACAAATATCTATTTTTACACCCTATGATACAGCATCTGCATTACAAGTCTGCATTTTAGGTTGTTGAAGAGTTGAAAAATTTGATGAATTATTACGAAAAAGAAACAGGTGTTTACCCGAATGTACTCAGCTTGGCGCTCTCATCACGTAAGAATCTCTGTATTCACCCACAGCTCCAGGGGATGCGGGAGGGTAAGGTCATTGATGGAAGATGTTACGGAATGACCGCCTCTTTTGTTCGTGAAAAACACAAATATGATCCTAACGTACCTGTCTGTGATTTTTATGAGGTGAGATTTTAACTTTAATAGCTAAGGAGAACAATGTATTGGGAATCAATTTTAGTTACATTTTTTGTCTTCAGAGTTGGACCTTATATTCTCTATTTTCTTTTGTTGCAAACTTTGATGTACTGCAGGAAATTGTCCAACAGGAGTGGCATTTATTTATTCTAAAAATGGACCATTATGACCTTGAATACATGTATTTGTGTATTTTTTGTAGGAGTTTGATGCTCAAGGGAAGGATATTCCAATTCCATCAGGCATATACAGCCTTGTAAGTTATGAATAATCACTAGGCCATTCAAAGTAAATTACATGTTTATTATGTACATACATTGTGTCTTGGGAGGATGGGAAGTTAAAAAAAGGGAAACACTTTATTTATTCTTTTTCTATATTGTTATAAAGTGACACCAAGAAAAGCAACTTTTGTGAATACGAATACTTCTCTTATCCAGAACCTCTTGATGCCAACACTTTTTTCCTAGTCTCAATATCATTATCTTGAGATTGACTTACATATGAAAAAGCTTGAAGTATGAACACCCTTCAAATCCAAATACTTGGCCCTTATGAATACTATTCTTGTTTACTACATGTGCATGTACTGATGGAGGCTGATTTAATGTCTTCTTTAAGGATGATCTCAAAACATTTGGTGCAGAGAAAGGGTGGTGTCCTTACTTCCTGGCAAGACATTCGGTAAGTGAAGTAAACTCTCTGTATATCAAAATTTTGTTTCATAGCATTCACATTTGTGTGTCAAATGCCTTTTTTAATTAAGTCAGAAATTATCATGTGAGTCAAATACCATGTTAATAGAATGCATTGGTTTTTTTTGCAGATAAACCATGCCCAGATTATAATCTATAGCTACTATTACCTGTTAGACCCTAAGATAGCCCAGGCCATATATATGAACTCATTGGTTATATTTGCAGATAAACCATGCCCAGATTATAATCTATAGCTACTACTACCTGTTGGACCCTCAGATAACCCAGGCCATATATATGAACTCATTTGTTATAGTTGCAGATAAGCCATGCCCAGATTATAATCTATAGCTACTACTACCTGTTGGACCCTCAGATAACCCAGGCCATATATATGAACTCATTTGTTATAGTTGCAGATAAGCCATGCCCAGATTATAATCTATAGCTACAACTACCTGTTAGACCCTAAGATAGCCCAGGCCGTATCTATGAACTCATTGGTTATATTTGCAGATAAACCATGCCCAGATTATAATCTATAGCTACTACTACCTGTTAGACCCTAAGATAGCCCAGATCATTTATATGAACTCATTGGTTATATTTGCAGATAAACCATGCCCAGATTATAATCTATAGCTACTACTACCTGTTAGACCCTAAGATAGCCCAGGCCATATATATGAACTCATTGGTTATATTTGCAGATAAACCATGCCCAGATTATAATCTATAGCTACTATTACCTGTAAGACCCTAAGATAGCCCAGGCCATATATATGAACTCATTGGTTATATTTGCAGATAAACCATGCCCAGATTATAATCTATAGCTACTTCTACCTGTTAGACCCTAAGATAGCCCAGGCCATATATATGAACTCATTGGTTATATTTGCAGATAAACCTTGCCCAGATTATAATCTATAGCTACTACTACCTGTAAGACCCTAAGATAGCCCAGGCCATATATATGAACTCATTGGTTATATTTGCAGATAAACCATGCCCAGATTATAATCTATAGCTACTTCTACCTGTTAGACCCTAAGATAGCCCAGGCCATATATATGAACTCATTGGTTATATTTGCAGATAAACCTTGCCCAGATTATAATCTATAGCTACTATTACCTGTTAGACCCTAAGATAGCCCAGGCCATATATATGAACTCATTGGTTATATTTGCAGATAAACCATGCCCAGATTATAATCTATAGCTACTACTACCTGTAAGACCCTAAGATAGCCCAGGCCATATATATGAACTCATTGGTTATATTTGCAGATTAACCATGCCCAGATTATAATCTATAGCTACTATTACCTGTTAGACCCTAAGATAGCCCAGGCCATATATATGAACTCATTGGTTGTATTTGCAGATTAACCATGCCCAGATTATAATCTATAGCTACTATTACCTGTTAGACCCTAAGATAGCCCAGGCCATATATATGAACTCATTGGTTATATTTGCAGATTAACCATGCCCAGATTATAATCTATAGCTACTATTACCTGTTAGACCCTAAGATAGCCCAGGCCATATATATGAACTCATTGGTTATATTTGCAGATTAACCATGCCCAGATTATAATCTATAGCTACTACTACCTGTAAGACCCTAAGATAGCCCAGGCCATATATATGAACTCATTGGTTATATTTGCAGATTAACCATGCCCAGATTATAATCTATAGCTACTACTACCTGTTAGACCCTAAGATAGCCCAGGCCATATATATGAACTCATTGGTTATATTTGCAGATAAACCTTGCCCAGATTATAATCTATAGCTACTACTACCTGTTGGACCCTAAGATAGCCCAGGCCATATATATGAACTCATTGGTTATATTTGCAGATTAACCATGCCCAGATTATAATCTATAGCTACTACTACCTGTTAGACCCTAAGATAGCCCAGGCCATATATATGAACTCATTGGTTATATTTGCAGATAAACCATGCCCAGATTATAATCTATAGCTACTTCTACCTGTTAGACCCTAAGATAGCCCAGGCCATAGCTATGAACTCATTGGTGATATTTGCAGATAAACCATGCCCAGATTATAATCTATAGCTACTACTACCTGTTAGACCCTAAGATAGCCCAGGCCATATATATGAACTCATTGGTTATATTTGCAGATAAACCTTGCCCAGATTATAATCTATAGCTACTACTACCTGTAAGACCCTAAGATAGCCCAGGCCATATATATGAACTCATTGGTTATATTTGCAGATTAACCATGCCCAGATTATAATCTATAGCTAGTACTACCTGTTAGACCCTAAGATAGCCCAGGCCATATATATGAACTCATTGGTTATATTTGCAGATAAACCTTGCCCAGATTATAATCTATAGCTACTACTACCTGTTAGACCCTAAGATAGCCCAGGCCATATATATGAACTCATTGGTTATATTTGCAGATAAACCATGCCCAGATTATAATCTATAGCTACTACTACCTGTTAGACCCTAAGATAGCCCAGGCCATATATATGAACTCATTGGTTATATTTGCAGATAAACCATGCCCAGATTATAATCTATAGCTACTATTACCTGTTAGACCCTAAGATAGCCCAGGCCATATATATGAACTCATTGGTTATATTTGCAGATAAACCATGCCCAGATTATAATCTATAGCTACTACTACCTGTTAGACCCTAAGATAGCCCAGGCCATATATATGAACTCATTGGTTATATTTGCAGATAAACCTTGCCCAGATTATAATCTATAGCTACTACTACCTGTTAGACCCTAAGATAGCCCAGGCCATATATATGAACTCATTGGTTATATTTGCAGATAAACCTTGCCCAGATTATAATCTATAGCTACTACTACCTGTAAGACCCTAAGATAGCCCAGGCCATATATATGAACTCATTGGTTATATTTGCAGATTAACCATGCCCAGATTATAATCTATAGCTACTACTACCTGTTAGACCCTAAGATAGCCCAGGCCATATATATGAACTCATTGGTTATATTTGCAGATTAACCATGCCCAGATTATAATCTATAGCTACTATTACCTGTTAGACCCTAAGATAGCCCAGGCCATATATATGAACTCATTGGTTATATTTGCAGATTAACCATACCCAGATTATAATCTATAGCTACTATTACCTGTTAGACCCTAAGATAGCCCAGGCCATATATATGAACTCATTGGTTATATTTGCAGATTAACCATGCCCAGATTATAATCTATAGCTACTACTACCTGTAAGACCCTAAGATAGCCCAGGCCATATATATGAACTCATTGGTTATATTTGCAGATTAACCATGCCCAGATTATAATCTATAGCTACTTCTACCTGTTAGACCCTAAGATAGCCCAGGCCATATATATGAACTCATTGGTTATATTTGCAGATTAACCATGCCCAGATTATAATCTATAGCTACTATTACCTGTTAGACCCTAAGATAGCCCAGGCCATATATATGAACTCATTGGTTATATTTGCAGATAAACCATGCCCAGATTATAATCTATAGCTACTACTACCTGTTAGACCCTAAGATAGCCCAGGCTGTGTCCAAGGAACTTAGTAAAAACTCAGTCGTTGTATTTGATGAGGCTCACAATATAGGTAGGAATTCAAGATTTCTTTTTTGGCCTCTTCTACTGTTGCGTCTTTCTGTCGCGGACAATAAACCTTTTAAGGAATCAAATGAATTCATATTTTTCTGAATTTTAAAGCCACATTCAGTTCAAGGAATCTGAGACAATGTGTTATCTATATAGATGTATGTAGTTACCACACTATTCTATTTTAGTTGTTACCATAATAAGATGGTAGGAAATACCTTAATGGCATCTGTATGTACATTTTTCATTTAATATTTCAGATAACCAGTGCATTGAAACCATGAGTGTTAAGATCAACAAGCGAACAATTGAGAAATCAGAGAATAGTATAGAAGCTTTGCAGACAAGTCTAGAGAGGTTTGGAATCTTGTCATATTTGTTTGGAGTCCCTTATTTGTTTGGAATCCTGTCTTATTTGTTTGAAATTCTGTCTTATTTGTTTGAAATCCTGTCTTATTTGTTTGGAATCCTGTCTTATTTGTTTGGAATCCTGTCTTATTTGTTTGGAATCCTGTCATATTTGTTTGGAATCCTGTCTTATTTGTTTGAAATCCTGTCTTATTTGTTTGGAATCCTGTCTTATTTGTTTGGAATCCTGTCTTATTTGTTTGGAATTCTGTCATATTTGTTTGGAATCCTGTCTTATTTGTTTGAAATCCTGTCTTATTTGTTTGGAATCCTGTCTTATTTGTTTGGAATCCTGTCTTATTTGTTTGGAATCCTGTCATATTTGTTTGGAGTCCCTTATTTGTTTAAAATCCTGTCTTATTTGTTTGGAATCCTGTCTTATTTGTTTGAAATTCTGTCTTATTTGTTTGAAATCCTGTTTTATTTGTTTAGAATCCTGTCTTATTTGTTTGAAATCCTGTCTTATTTGTTTGGAATCCTGTCTTATTTGTTTGGAATCCTGTCTTATTTGTTTGGAATCCTGTCTTATTTGTTTGGAATCCTGTCTCATTTGTTTGGATCCTTGTCTTATTTGTTTGGAATCCTGTCTTATTTGTTAGAAATCCTGTCTTATTTGTTTGGAATCCTGTCTCATTTGTTTGGAATCTTGTCTTATTTGTTTGGAATCCTGTCTTATTTGTTTGGAATCCTGTCTTATTTGTTTGGAATCCTGTCTTATTTGTTAGAAATCCTGTCTTATTTGTTTGGAATCCTGTCTTATTTGTTTGGAATCCTGTCTTATTTGTTTGTAATCCTGTCTTATTTGTTTGGAATCCTGTCGTATTTGTTTGGAATCCTGTCTTATTTGTTTGGAATCCTGTCTTATTTGTTTGAAATCCTGTCTTATTTGTTTGGAATCCTGTCTTATTTGTTTGAAATCCTGTCTTATTTGTTTGGAATCCTGTCTTATTTGTTTGGAATCCTGTCTCATTTGTTTGGAATCCTGTCTTATTTGTTTGAAATCCTGTCTTATTTGTTTGGAATCCTGTCTTATTTTTTTGGAATCCTGTTTTATTTGTTTGGAATCCTGTCTTATTTGTTTGGAATCCTGTCTTATTTGTTAGAAATCCTGTCTTATTTGTTTGGAATCCTGTCTTATTTGTTTGGAATCCTGTCTTATTTGTTTGGAATCCTGTCTTATTTGTTTGGAATCCTGTCTTATTTGTTTGAAATCCTGTCTTATTTGTTTGAAATCCTGCTTATATGTTCAACTTAAAATTTTTGCATTTGCAAGAGCGCCGTAATGCCAAGCTTTGGTTTTGGCATGCTGATAAATTACATAATAGTCATTTTAGTCTTCGAAGTGTGATATTTATCACTTTGTCTTGTTTTTAGGATCCGCACAGAGGACTCGAGTCGACTTCAGAATGAATATGAGAGACTTGTAGAGGGATTACGTGATGCAAATATGTCTAGAGAGACTGACGTTGTGCTTGCAAACCCCGTTCTGCCAGATGAAATTCTGCAAGGTAATGCATTAAACCTTTTGTATTTTGACTTATTATTGTAACCTTCATTCTTTTCTGATTGGCATTTGGTGGGTGTTAAAGAAAATTAAGTACTGATCACACATCAAGAATAATCTGCAAATACAAATAACATGAATAAATACAATTTAGTGTGTTGACCTTGTGTCAGTGAAGTTTTATTTTTTGTCATATTTTTCATTAAAAAAGTTGATGTTTTTTAAAGAAGCTTCTATTATTTGTTGTTATCTTTTCAAGCCATACATACGTCATGTACAGCTCAAAATAATACATATTTATGGTTGATGTTTGTTTTCCTTCACATGGAATCTAAAACTAAAGAATAATCTTCATTTCGTCCTTAGTAATTACATGTAGATTAACACAATAGCGTTTTTCTTCATGTTTGTATCTTTCAATGGTTGTCGTAGCAATCAATTGATTAACTGACTATGTATTGTTTATTGCATGTTAATGCTTTGACATATATGTTTTGAAATATGTATTTCAGAGGCTGTTCCAGGGAATATTAGAAATGGTGAACATTTTGTGCGATTTTTAAAAAGATTTCTGGAGTATATTAAAACTCGTCTCAGGATATCTCACGTTGTATCAGAGAGTCCCGCCTCCTTTCTGAAAGATTGTAAGCAAAAAGTCTGCATAGAGAGAAAGCCACTTAGGTAGGTTAACCCTTCAAGAACAGTGTTCTTTTGCCGAAAAATCATATCTTCTTTACCAGCGACTTTTAGCTAGATCATGAGAATCAGTTGAAAAACTATTAATGATATTGTGTTACTACAACAAATAAAAGATTGACAATGTATGAAGGTATTCAAGAATGTTGTATTAGAAGTTATTTTTGTTTTACTATTGTTAAACTATTTTGGAAATCCAGGCTTTACTCCAGTTACCAATATTACTCAGTTTACTCAAGCTATCACACTCAAACTATTGCACTCGGGTAAACATACTCAAGGTTTCATACAGGGTGACCCAAAAAAATGCAACCCTCCATTTCTTCAATATTTTTCTTAAATGGAGGTTAATTGCTCTGAAATTTAGCACACAGGGACTTCATTCAATGTGGGATCCCCTGGCAAAGTTTCAATAATCATAGACTTATATTGATAGAGCTATGGTCGTTCCAAAATATGCTCCAAATGTCGTCTATTTCCAATTTACATTTTCAGATGAATCACAATTCCCTTCTTTCTGAACATGTAAACTCAGGAAATAATGTGTTCTGGGATCACAAATTCCAGATGAAGTGCTTCAAAGGCCCCTTCATTCTGTTAAGTGCACAGCTTGGGCTACCAATTTCCAAACATGAAATCATCAGCCCCTTTTGGTTTGAGGTTGATAATGCCAACACTGTTACTGTTAACACACAGCACAATATTTGCGTTTCCAGGAAGTTCTAGGCAGTTCTAGAGTGGCATAGAGGCTTCAATAGACAAGAACAGTGGTTCTAGAACGATGGAGCTTCTCCTCACACTTCTAATGATAGCATAGCCTGGCTCACTTGTCATTTCTATGAGAAGATGATCTCTCCTAGGACGGAGAACCCATGGTCATCCCACAGTCTTGATCTCAATGCCCCTGACTTCTATATATGGGGTTATTTAAAGGATAATGTGTATGAAAATAGCCCTACCGCAACTGCAGAACTCCAATAAGCAATGGCTGCAAAAATTTGAGCCATACCCATGGGGAAGAATGCATCCGTGTAATGAACAGTTTTCCTTGAACATTGCAAGTTTGTTTTCAGCGAAATTACGACATCTGGAGCATATTTTGAAACAACCATAACTCTATCAACATAAGACTATGATTATTAAAACTTTGCCAGAGGATCCCACATTGAATGAAGTCCTTGTGTGCCAAATCTCAGAGCAATTTATCTCCATTTAAGAAAAATATTGAAGAAATGGAGGGTTGCATTTTTTTGGGTCACCCTGTATATCTCAAACTAGCATACTGAAGCAACAACACACATTTAAACTGAATCTATCATACTCAAGCTATCATACTCAAGATATCATACTCAAGCTATCATACTCACTTAAACTAATGCATGTTCTGTTATTGTTACCATATTATAATTTTAGATTTTGTGCTGAGAGATTGGCCTCATTGATGCGAACATTGGAATTCTCGGATGTTTCAGATTTTTCATCTCTCACCCTGATCGCCCATTTTGCTACTCTAGTCAGCACTTACACAACAGGTACTCAAGTGAAATTACCATAGTAACTAATATTTTTGTGTACAACAGGTACAAATGCTCTACATACTCAAGTGAAATAACCATAGTAACTAATGTTTTGTTGTACAACAGGTACAAATGCTCTGCATACTCAAGTGAAATTACCATAGTAACTAATATCTTGTTGTACAACAGGTACAAATGCTCTGCATACTCAAGTGAAATTACCATAGTAACTAATGTTTTGTTGTACAACAGGTACAAATGCTCTGCATACTCAAGTGAAATTACCATAGTAACTAATATCTTGTTGTACAACAGGTACAAATGCTCTGCATACTCAAGTGAAATTACCATAGTAACTAATATTTTGTTGTAAAACAGGTACAAATGCTCTGCATACTCAAGTTAAATAACCATAGCAACTAATATTTTGACATGAGTAGGTGGTGTTCTTGAAATGTCTATCTGTTTCTAACTTTAGAATTAGCTATTTGCGGATTATTGACATAGATAATCATATTGATCCCATATTTTACATTTCAGTGCAATTTAAAGTCAAATGCATGCCTGTTTACTTTATTTCTTGCTTATTCCACTTGGTTCATCCTTACTGACTGATATTCAAAAGGTTGAAATATGAATATTGTGGGATTTGTGGGTGGGGCCCGCACAATGTGGGATTAATCACTGGATGTTAATTTTGTCAGGGGTTTTTAATGAGCAATAGGTCCCGGTGGCGGGGTCTCCACCGTCAACGCAACTCTTATATGATTACACAATCCACAAAACAATTAGAATTATATTTGCAACATATATCATGAATTACAGAGCTTTTATTTTCCTGTTTTTATTACAAGAAAAATCGACAAGTTCTTACTATCAGGCTTCAAAACTAAATCCAATGGATTGTCATTATCTATCAAAAGTTCATATCAAAATAATCTCTCTAATATGGAAATCAGATGGCTACATCGACATCTCAATTAGTTGGCCCAAATCACCACTCACTACGTCAAAAGTTCATATCAAAATATTCTCTCTAATATGGAAATCAGATGGCTACATCGACATCTCAATTAGTTGGCCCAAATCACCACTCACTACGTCAGGGACTGGAAAATACTAAATACACACTTACGTAAATTATTCCGTGTGGCCGATCGCGCAACAAATCTGGACACCCGTGAATACACTGGCACACTCAGTCGGAATAAGCGCTACTAAATCGCAGATCTCGGAAGTACTACTCCAAACTCGAACACATCGACAATTATCCTCAATTATCCAAGATTCAATAATGCGACTATAATCCAAATAGCACGTTACAACATGTAAAATATCGCCACGCCGCCGCACAGGGTATGTCCATTGAAATATCGATGAGTGCGCACTTTTGCCAATAGAGATTTCTTTTATAACCCAGGTCACTACCTTTAACCGCGCGTATGGAAATAAGTCGCAAATAAGTACGCCGGATAAACTAAATAGACAATGGTTACGGTGACTAGTATGCAAAATGTAGAAAGAAAATACAAGAGATAAAACTAAATGTGTTTGATTGTATAAAAAGGAAGAAATGTGCAAGAAATAACGTGAAATGAACATAAAAATAGTTCCGGAAGAAAATTAATATCCGGTTTATCAATCGAAATTTATTGCCAAATAGTTTCACGAAATTCTCCGGGGAATACAGACTAATCACTATGATCTTCCTAAATTTATAAATCGGAGCACACATATATTAAAAATGAGTAAGTGGGAACAACTAAACCGACATACGGAACAAGAAATTGAAGATCCGAACAAAATCCTAATTTTTTATAAACAAACCACAGTTCGTTCAGTGTAACTCCCCGGGAGAACACAAAATTAAATTGCATTTTCATTACATTCCTCCCATCCGATGATATAGGTTCGCCCTCGAACCGAACAAAGAAAATACTAAAAATGAAAATGCATTAAGAAACCGCATATGAAAAATATAACGCCCAATAGCGAATCAAAATGTCAAACATTGCACATATCGTATACATGAAATATCTTATACTAACTTACACTACGCGGACACATTATCTGGTCCATGATGTATGTATAATAAAGTATACACAAAAGTCACAAAGTTTATTCCTTTACCCAGGAAACACCCGTAACTAGCGCTACATTTACCAATATGAAACTAGCGTCTCGGACGACTCAACAACTCCCTGTTTGTCATGCTTTTGAATAATCACACTGGTTTTAACAACTCGACTAGCTTCGTCGTTACTCTCGTCGATCTGATCATGCGCTTTTTTAAGATGAGAAGTGAGATTAGATCTACGCTTGAAAGTGCGATCGCAAGTAGGGCAAACATATGCCCCCGTAAGTGGACCTTTATATTTCTTGAGTGACACGGAGGCATCCGACACATTTGATGCCTGTGAGCATAAGACAACCTTACGATCTTGGGAGTCTAGATTGTTGTTCACATCCAAAAGTTTAGAATCCCCATCAAAAGAAATGTCTTGCAAGAGACTGTTATTGTCTAATGACGCTAAATCATCCGGCAATCCCGCCGGTAACGGGGTAGATGAAGACAAAGATCCCGTGAGATCAACATTAACGGAAAGGGGTTGTGATCCTGTGTCTAGAGGGGGCGTAGTGGTACTCGGGAACGAATAGGATATCACAGGATCAGAAGTGACCGTAGCAGGGTACACTGGTGGCACCACTGTGGAAGATAAAGGTAATGTCCGAGACTCCAACTCCGGTGTGGACACAGGAGTTCTTGCAGCGTAGAACGGAGGCGGTGAGGGTCGTGCAGGCGGACTGACCCAGGTCGTACGGGTAGATCCCTCGCCATACAAGGGTGGTGTTGGGTAGTGGTAGGGATAAGGTGCGATTCCACGGCCCCGCCTTCTCCAAGATGCCTCCACAAATCTACGTCGCTCATAATGAGGCCAGTAATCCCAATACGCTTCATCATCATATCCATAACGACCATTTCCCCGTCCAGCCATACTGGAATTACAAAAATAACACACGAAAAAAAATTATCAAAGTTCGCAAAAGAAAATACACGAGTACGCAATCAAACACTTTATCTATAGCTTACTAGTTTTCTATACGAACGACTCACCTAATCAATCCAAGTGCGGACCCCAAAGCTTTACCTAAAGGTCAAGTGATTCCGACTCTAAATACTCAAGCGAATTCGGAGGCGCTTCAACTTCAACAACAGTCGGATTAGAATGAATCCTGTTCGGTCGCGACTTACTCCGTTGGCCGGTTTTATCTCCTAGTCGAATTGACTCCCCCTCTTTGAATCTAGCTGTCTCGATCAGGACGTAAGTCCCTGTGTCCTGAAACTCGACCAGGTCGGGGCGGTCCTCGTGCCATCTATGTACATGAATAACACCACCTCTTTGGGTGTCGGATCTACCGCAGACTCGTAAGTCGGTTCTTTCCAGATACTCTGGAGCTCCACTACGACTCGCGGCTTCCTCTTCACATTCGCGGGGAAAAGAACCATCTCCCACAACTTCTCCACCCACTGGTAGAGTCTGAGGGAACTTCAATGTCCCTTGGAAAAAATCTACACTTGCACCAGATACACGGAGAAAGTCACATCCCAAAATCCCTGGAAACTTAGTGTCTGCCACGACGATCTCCATATGTTCCGTATGACCTTTGACATTTATATCTACCGTCACCGCACCATGTACCGCCAGGGTAATTCCAGTTGCTTGTGTAAGCACATGCGAATACGGATGCAACGGTGGTCGATTATCGGGTAAAATTGCAAAATAAGCATCTTAACTAATCAAGGTTTGTACCGAGCCTGAGTCGACTAAACAATGTATCGAAACATTTTCAATGTCCGCGCAAGCAAAAATACTCCCGTTTCCATCAGGAGTTTCGCGGTCGAAGCGGATTGGAGCGACCCAGTGTGTATCAATCGGACATATTTCAGACACTTTGTTGTCCACAACTTCACAATATTCCGACAGATACTCCGGTCTTCGGCGTTTGCGACCCGTTTCCCGCTTTACACTTCCTGTTTTGTCATAGTTCAGCTCTGGTTTCAACTTCTTTTTGGCCGGGTTTACTTTATCATTGACCATAGACCGAGGATAATCAGGTGATTTGCCATCCGGAATTTCAGGACTCGAGTGATCAGTCACGTCAGCATCAGTTTTCGGAGGTAGGCTGTCACTAGACAATTCCGGTAATAAGTTTTTAGGTAATGGTTCAAGGATCATATCAGACGCAATTGGAACATCTTGACCGTTCCAATCCTTGGGCAGAGAACCAAGGTATGGTTTCAACAAATTGAAATGCACCACCTTGCACTTTTCGCGACCCTTTTGTATCCGATAGGTTACATTGGAAATAACCTTAATAATCCGATAAGGGCCCAACCATTTGGGAAGGAGTTTGGGGCAAACTCCCTTCTTACGCGTCATATTACGGTACCACACAGCTTGTCCCACTGTAAAGCTCGACCCTTCTTTGTTCCGATCATAATACTTCTTCTGCCGGTCCATGTTTACATCTAACATTTTCTTTGCCCGCTCAAAAGCATTACCTAGGTCATGTCTCAATTGTTCCGCATAGTCAGTCTGTAACTGGCCAGTATCATTCTCATTATCAGGTGTTTCGATCATTACAGTCAGGGGAACCTTAAGTTCTCGCCCCAACATTAACATTGAAGGAGTCTCGCCGGTTGTGTCATGTACTGCCGTTCTGTAGGCAAGTAAAGCATACGGGATTTTAAGATCCCAGTCTCTCTGATGTTGCTCCGGTTCTAGCAACTTAGAGATGGTATCAACGAGGGTGCGATTATAGCGCTCCACCATGCCGTCCGATTCTGGGTGGAACGGAGTTGTGCGCGTTTTCGTAATACCAAGCAAGGAACACATTTCGGAAAATACAGCAGATTCATAATTGCGGCCTTGGTCGGAATGCAACTCGTTTGGGAAGCCCAACCGGCACACTACTTCATCAACTATTTTACGAGCAACCGTAACAGCTTCCATGTTAGGAATACCGAACGCCTCAACCCACTTCGAAAAATAGTCGGCCACCACTAAGACATACTTATTACCACGTGGGGTTTCCGGTAAAGGGCCTAATATATCCGTAGCCAACCGTTCCATTGGCGCACCAACACGCACTTGTTGAAGTGCAGCTTTTCTCCGTTTGTGAGGATTTTTCCTTTCCTCACACTTGACACATTTTCGGCAATGAGACCTCACGTCTGCCGCTAACTCACTCCAGTAAAAATTCTTCCGTATCTTGTACAAAGTTTTCTTTACACCGAAATGTCCCGCTGTTGGGTGGTTGTGTGCTAATTGCAGAATCAGAAGATGCATGACCTGAGGCGCAATTACCTGTAGACTGGCTGAGTGACCACTTTGGTCTTCCCAAATGCGGCATAACACACCCTCATTCAAAGTCAGCCGTTCCCACTGAAACCAATACGTTTTTGTTACTGGGGATTCAAACCCAATTTTACTCCAGGGCGGTCGTTCTTTTGATTGTTCTAACTCACGTATGATCGGACGCAAATTTGCATCTTCCCGCTGCGCCTCAGCAATTTTGCTTAACGGCCAATCCGGGGGATTAGAAACAACCGTAACACCAGACTCTGTTTCCTCGGGGAAAATCTTGCGGTCTTCGTCGCAATGTGTGCATTGTTTGCAGGGCGGACGCGACATTGCATCTGCATTAGCATGTTGCTTTCCCGGTCTAAACTCAATCTGAAAGTCATATTCTTGCAAAATCTGCAACCACCGTGCAAGTTGGCCTTCTGCGTCTTTGAAATTTAGAAGCCACCGTAACGAGCTATGATCGGTTCGGATTCGCACCGGAACTCCGTACAGATACTGTCTGAAGTGTCTGACGTAGTTCACTACGGCCAAAAGTTCCTTTCTAGTAGTGCAGTAATTGCGTTCACACTTGCTAAGTCGCTTGCTCGCAAAGTAAATTGGCTTCTCTTCGCCATCCTGCAATTGTGATAAAACCGCACCTATGTGGGTAAAACTCGCATCCGTATCTAGGATGTACTGACAGTCATCCTTTGGGTAAGCTAACAAAGGCGCATTTACCAATTTTGACTTCAGAGTTTGCACCGCATCATCACAACTCTCATCCCAGTGAAAGCGAATATTTTTCTTGGTTAACTCGTGTAAAGGGCCGGCGATTGCCGCATAATCCTTTACATGTCGGCGGTAATAGGAGGTTAATCCTACAAACTGGCGAACATTCTTTACAGATCTAATCGGCCCCCAGTTTACTATACTCTCAACTTTCTTAGGATCTGGTCGAATTCCACTACGCGATACTATATGTCCTAGATAATTGACTTCGCGGCGAAATAAAGAGCATTTGCTTGGCTTCAACTTGAGCCCTGCATCTCGTAACCGTTCAAGTACACCTTGTAACCGTTCAATGGATTCCTCGAAAGTGGTACCATAAGTGATAATGTCATCGAGGTACACTAGGGAAGTCCTATTACTGATTCCCTTGAGTACCTGTTCCATAAGTCGGGAGAAAGTTGCGGGCGCGTTTGTCAAACCAAACGGCATGACTTTCCACTGATACAATCCGCCACGTACGGAAAAGGCCGATTTCTCCTTAGCGTCATCACTTAACGCTATCTGCCAATAGCCAGATGCCATGTCGATCGTGCTAAAGTAATCCGCATTACTCATCATATCTAACGTCTCCGCGATCTTAGGAATAGGGAAGGAATCTTTTTTTGTACAATTATTCAACTTCCGGTAGTCCACGCAGAAACGCCAAGTTTGATCTTTCTTACGAACCAATACTATTGGTGCCGCCCATGGGCTCTGCGATGGTTCTATCAACCCACGATCCAGCATACTCTGGATTTGACGGTCAACTTCTTCTTGACGACACTTCGGTAAAGTTCGATACATCTGTCGGATCGGTTCCGAATTACCAGTGTTAATTTCATGTTGTACTAATCTTGTACTACCGATATCCGAGTCTCCTGTAGAGAACACGTCACTATTTCTAATTAACAAACTTCGCAGTTGAGCTATCTGTTTCACGGTCAGTCCTTCTGAACTCTTCTCGAACAGCGACAGTAAGTGTTCTGGCATTGGGCCACTACAACTTTGCCCAGTATCTATCGATAAAATTGATTCCATTTGTTCCGGCTCAAGTTCATCACACTGCGTCAAATGTGAAATTCCAAGCAATTTCTAGACGTGCAAAGATAGTCTAGGAACTCCGCGTATCTAGAGATTCCAAGACGTGTCAAGAGGTGCAAAGACCTCGCGTGTAAAGAGCGTGTCAAGAGTTTTGATATCTCTTTGCACAGCCTTATCAAAACAAACAGTATAATTAGACCGGCCACATGTTGTTATTGTTATGCCCTATAGTCGCGCTTAATTATACTTTACTAGGATTGGAATATAACAATCATTTTAATTTCGTGTTAATAATAATTTGTGTTTTTTAAATCATTATCAAAATAAAATTAATTTAAAAGTATGCGTGTGCGTGTAAGTATAGGCAATAGCTTAGTCGAAATGAGTAGATGTGTGCAGATGGAGATCGCATATGTATTTTGCTAAATCTGACATTTTTACAGGATCATGTTAAAGATCAAATGAAAACAAGAAATGTGTTTTTCTTAGGTTTATCTACCCTGATTTCGAGTGATTTTAACTTGGACGCATATTCCTAGATATTAAAACAGTTTGAATAATTAACAAAGTCCACTTTGAACCGTGTCAATCAAATTGTCAAATATGTAGATAGCACATGCAGGCCCGAATACAGGGGGGATAGATTGGTTCTAGCGACCCCCCCCCCCTCCGTGACCAAAATTGCATTTTTTACCCCATACTGAGCACCTTTTAAATTATTTTGCTCATTTTTGAACTAACATTGCCAAAAGTAAACTCCCCCTGGAATTTCTTAAAAAAATAACCCACCCCTTGGCAAATCCTGGCTATGGGTCTGAAACGCCTTAAACATGCTCTGAT